GGGCAGATTCAAACATACATGCATACAAACTTGTAAACAGACAAACAAACACACCAAATCTAAACAAACTTCTAAGTCATTCCTTCAAAGAAATGAGTAGTCTTTAAGACAGAACTCCCATGGCTCCTTTGCCATGAGTACCACTCTGAATATGAGTATGAGTACTTTGCGATGAGTACGAGTACCGGTACTTTGCCACGAGTATGAGTTTGAGTACTTTGCCACGAGTATGAGTTTGAGTACTTTGCCACGAGTACGAGTTTGAATACTTTGCCACGAGTATGAGTTTGAGTACTTTGCCACGAGTATGAGTTTGAGTACTTTGCCACGAGTACGAGTTTGAGTACTTTGCCACAAGTATGAGTACAAATACTCTGCCATGAGTACAACTCTGAGTATGAGTACAAGTACTTTGCCAGTAGTATGAGTACTTTGCCAGTAGTATGAGTACGAGTACTTTGCCATGAGTATGACTCCGAGTATGAGTACATGAACTTTGCCATGAGTACGACTCTGAGTATGAGTTCAAGTTCTTTTCCATGAGTATGAGTATGAGTACTTTCCCACAAGTATGAGTACAGGAACTTTGCCACAAGTACGATTCTGAGTGTGAGTACAAGTACTTTGCCATGAGTACGAGTACTGTACATGTAATTTGTTCTTGGAAGGAAGAATATGAATAGTTTGCAATGAGTACCAGTATGAGTACAACTACGAGCACCTTGCTGTGAGTACGAGTATCAGTACAAGCATGAGTATCATTATCTTGCTATGAGTACAGGCATGAGTACAGGTTTTTTTTTTCATTTTCAAGTACAAACTGACATTCTCTTGAGTATGAGTATGAGGACCAGTACAAAAAAGTACTCAAGAACCGGTATGAGTCTGAGTACAAGAATGAGTTTTACAACACTGTACTCATGTACCTGTATTCCTGAGATGGTGCACCCAACCAGTAGCACAAACCCCGTTCAAAACAAAAAGCAGGAATTCTGCTTTCATAACCGAATTTCATGAGCTCAGCAGGAATGCACTATGCAAGCATTTGCATTTCCCAAAGTGCTGGCTACTTTGTCGATATGATCAGAAAACTTACTGTAAACATACGGTGGTGTTGTCACAAGTTCTTACCAGCTGCGAAGCAGGGTGGAAAGCTTTTAAAGTTGCTTTCATTCCAAACCATGGGAAGTGGATTAACTGCCAGCACAGAGCAAAGAAACACTCTCAGCTGTCAAAATGACATCAAGGGCAGGCGGGAGGGGAGGGTAATAGATATGGATATTATTGGTCACAACACGATGGTTGAGATTCCTGTCAACTGGTACGGGCTCATTGCGCAAACAAGAGAGGGCGTATTTTTACCACTTTAAAGAGCCCAGTGGACAGGACACACTTGCGTGCGCGTACTGCTTCACGCAATTCGTTTGAATGTCTCTCCCAGTGGTCTCCCCCAACTCTCCCTTTGTTACCGTTGAGGGGGTACTTGTGCTCGAAGGACATACATGTAGACCATTCTGAGCAAGCTACCGCTGTACACCGAAGAAGATCCCCTTCAAAAAGCTTCATGCCAGCTATTGTTTCGATCTTCAAATGCCAGTAACCTGTCATGGGGCAGTTGCTTTACAATAGCTGGTACAATGATTCCGCCATTGACGGGGGCCTCTGCTGTGAATGTACAGTGATGGCGCGTTCAGAATGGTCTATGTACCGGTATCATCATATAGTATAGTGTGCTATTGTTTATGGGACAGGCTGTTACCATACTGGTACTTGATTTTGACAGATATTATCAGGTTTTGAGTATAATTAACCAGTTCACCCATGAAAATGAACGATACACGTAACTTCCTCAGTTTGATTCTTTCACCAGCAATTATGTTTTCACACTGCATGAGAAATACGCCATGCACATCATACAAATGCACATGGCAGACCTTTGAGCATGGAAGTCCGACATTAATCACGGCTGTGATTGGTCAAAGCATCTGATTCGGGTCGCTGGATTCCACTATTGCCTCCCCTGTCACCTCCGCAAATAATGACCAGCTGTGCCATGCATGTTTCTTGACAAACTCTCTCTTCTCCACCACTTTTAATATGACCCCACCCCCTTTTAAGCACTAGCCATAACTCAAGCTTTCAAACTGTGGTTTGAAAAGAGCAAGCACATGTATAAAAGGGGTCCTTTGCACTCTAAATTTAGATGTCTGACTCATACATACTTTTGATAGTGAAGGAAGTTGTGAAACCATTGTCAGGTTATAAAAATTCCCCCTGCTGGTTCAATCAGAGTTGTGTTTTGTGTCACAGACAAAGACTGCAAGCGACCCCGCAGGGATATCATGGTGGGGTTTGGAGAAGAGAGTGTTTGGCAGGGGAGTGAGAATTTCACAGGCAACAGTGACGCCTGATTACTTCCCCTCCCCTCCGTAGGGTGTTTACAGTGAGTTTCAGAGGGCTGGGAGTTCCCAGCTGATGTGAACTTGGCATAAATCACGAAATGGCTTTCGAGTCTGGGGAGTTTAATGGAAACACAAACTCATAAGATAGACTCAAAAGACATTAAATCCCTTTTGCTCTATCTAATTTTTAAAATTTAGATCCGGGTCAAACCCTGAGGTTCTGGCCAACCCCTTGCCCTCTATCAAGAATCCAACATGGCTTCTACCCGGTTTCAGAATTCTACATCCACAGGGGTAAAATCTAACCCTTATTGAAACCAGGGTTAAGGGGCTCTACCCAGAAAGATGAACCAAAATCTATGCCAACTGATCCAGATGAGTCACTCTGAAAGACAGCAGCATGTGGGTTCCCATGGAAATAAGGTTGTGGTTGAGTTCATCACAAGTCAAATCACAAGTCCATCACAAGTCAAATCACAAGTCAAATCACAAGTCCATCACAAGTCCATCACAAGTCCATCACAAGTCAAATCACAAGTCCATCACAAGTCCATCACAAGTCCATTACAAGTCCATCACAAGTCAAATCACAAGTCCATCAGAAGTCAAATCTCAAGTCAAATCACAAGTCAAATCAGAAGTCCATCACAAGCCAAATCACAAGTCCATCACAAGCCAAATCACAAGTCCATCACAAGTCCATCACAAGTCAATCACAAGTCAAATCACAAGGCAAATCACAAGTCAAATCACAAGTCAAATCACAAGTCCATCACAAGTCAAATTACAAGTCCATCAGAAGTCAAATCACAAGTCAAATCACAAGCCAAATCACAAGGCAATCAAAAGAACAGGGGATGAACAATGAGAAAGGAATGTTTTTGTCACAGTTCAGTTGAATAGCTGGGCAGTACTGTAAATTTGTTCAAATGGATGACTTAAATGAGACTCGTCAAAATTTGGTTTGTGGTGGTACCAATGAAAGGAATAGATGGAAAAAGATCACCTCACATCTAAGAAAATCAGCATTTGAAATTGTGATTTCAATTGGAAGTGTATATGTACCGGTACATATGTGCCACTGAGTTATTTATGACAATTTGAGTCTTAGCATGTCATTGTATTTATGTTCAATGGAATCCTGTAAAGCATTTCACTATTGTAAGAGTACACTTTAAGTTAGCCAAGGTTTGACTTGAATAAACAAATGTTAAGAGTTTTCAACTTTTTTCAGTATACATGTAGTTTACTATACAATACATGGTACAAGGTCGATTTAATTTATTTAAGGAACAACTATAATGTACATGTAGAATTCGAAAAAATAATTAATTAAATTGTTGAAATTGTCAGGTTGTTAATTTTATTAATTCATTATACCGGTAGGCCTACCTGGTGTACTAAGTACTGTAGCCATTTGGCTGGTTAGTGTTTGTCAACAGAGGGCGCTATGCCACATTACCACTGAAATGATTTACACTCTTTGACAGACTGGTTGGCACACTTCAATAAATTGCTAAGTGTACAAATTGAATTTGTGACCAAAACAAATTAAATTGCACTATTTTGCTCAGTGGGAATCAAACCCAGTGCCTCCTTGCTACATGTAAGCAAATGCCTCCGTGCTAAGTGGCTCAATGAAATAAGCCCAAGCTCACTGAGGACAAGATTAAAGGGGTATTATGGTCTGAAATTCCCGAAGAATTATTTTTGTCTTGGATTGTTTATTTATCCTATTTCAAAGGTCTGGTTAAAAGGAAACTAACCTAATGTCTTACCGTTCCATGAAAAACCCCCAAAAAGGCCTGTTGTTAACATCAGATGCGGCGTACATTTTGTGTACGTATTTTCAGCCATAATACACACATAACACACATAATACACACAGCACCACTACACAAAAATGTTGTTTGTCGCACGTCCGCAGAATGTGATTGCACTGTGCGGAAGGATTCACAACAAGCACTCAGTGGGCTTTATTCATGAGGCGGCCATATTAAATTGAAAGTGAGGTAAATTTTTCATGTTTTGGAACTTGCGAAGAGAAATGAAAGCAATGAAAAAGTAAATTACAAATTAATACCAGTCTGCTGCAATGAATAATTTCAGATTTGTGATTAAACATACCCTAATGTTTTAAGCTACATTAAAAAAAAAAAACGAAAATGAGGCTAGAATGCATAAATCGTCTGGCACCATCCCATTCAACAGTTCACAATTAATTAAATACATGCAGGGAACACGACCAAAATGGCTTCCTCGTGAATGAGGTCCATAGCTCGATTTTTGAGAGTCAAAATACCCTTGCATGGTTCTCTAAAGAATTACACAAAAGCGCCCAGTTTTTAAAGGATGGTTGTGTGAAAGTTATATCCTACTTTTAAATACTCTTTCCAATTAACATCATTTCGTTTGAAAATGTATTTTGTAGCCCAATTGGGTGCATTCCAGGACGTAATGTCCCTTTATATGCTGTCTCTGATTTAGTTGAATATGGCTTGCAATCACATTTGGAAGCAGTTCAATCCACTTCCCATGCAAACATATGCGTTACTGCTAGCCATAGTCGCATGAATCAAATGCAGTCCTAAGACTCACCCTTCTTGCAGTGTGTCTCTTCACGATATACGCGCAGCCGATGATGGTGGATGCGATGCAAATAACGCACGCCACGATGTTGGTGACGCAGACCGAGTACATGAGCTCCTTGACGGTGCCCGTGATCGTTGTGCAGTCCCCGACCCCCTCGAAGACCACCATGTCCTCTTGCCGGGCGCAGCGGGACTGGGTCTCGCAGCAGTGGCAGGTCAGAGGTCGCAGGTCGTCTCGGCAGCTGACTAAGGTCTGGAGGTCGGCCCCGCTCAGGCCGGAGAGCGCCGTGGCTACCAGGTGGAGCACCACGCAGACGGCCGATAGGAACGTGAAGAAGCTCAGCTGTGAACAAAAAATACAGAGAGATGAAAGATTAAATTACCGGAACTTTGTCGTGCCAATTCATAATTTGTTCCCACAATAAAATATTTCAAAATCTGTTCATAGGCCAATCCGGGCATCTATTCTATCATGAAGGCCCGCTTTAATGGCAAAAGCATTGTGCTAGCTATTGTTCAGATAATCTGTCACAAGGCAATTACTTTGTACAATGGCATGTACTATTGTTTCTCCATTGAGAGGGGCCTCATGAGTATATTGTTATCAGTAGTCCCTGGTTCTGGTGGAAGCCTTATGCCCTCTATTGATGAAACAAGAGCTCTGTGACAGTTACTCTAATGTAGCTGGCCAGCATAATAAATCCTCCATTAGTGAGGGCCACCGTGAGCTATTTTATACAGAATTATAGTAACTTTATGTATTTTGCACCAGGCAATGAGGACTCGGCAATTTTACTTTTTGGTTTAACACTGAGCAATTTTTTTTTTAAGTTAGAATTTTTTGGTCATATACTTGGCTGAATGGCTTTCAGAATTTGCATGTGGTATTAACTGTAACAATAAAGGTTTGGTAATTTATAACTGCAGAACAATGGGCTGTACACCAACAGTATAGGCCAAGTTCGGGCAAGGACCATTAGTCAACTAGTGGTTAATTTGTGACGTACTTTACGCCTGCACACTAATAGCAACCTGCGAATGTCTCTAGTCAAATGCTAGTCTAAATGTCATCGCAAAACTTCTGGATCCTAGCTGGCTCCCTGCTGTACGTTATGAATGTGCGCCACTATTGGTTACCAGCAATGCAACCAGCCCCAGTACGTTGGTTCCAAATAGTCGACTAGCGTAGTCAACCATCGTCGACTAGACAGAGTTTGGGCTAACTTTAATCGAACTATGGTTAACCAATGGTCAACAACAGTTCTTGTGCAAACTAGCCCATAGTTGGCATAGTTGACCAATTTTTGAAAGCCCCAGTTGGGGGACACACCGAGCGTGCGTGTACTGGTTCACGCTAGTATGGTGCGAAGTACGCGCAAGTTATTTTATTCTGAATCTGCCCAAACCCAAAGCATCTTCACGTGAGCGTCAGGCGCTGTCAGTGATGCGTTGGGATGTCCTTCAGTTCCAAATAGTCTCCCCCAACTCTTCCTTTGTAACCGTTTAGGGGGTACTTGTGCACGGAACCAATACAAGAAATAGACCAGGAAGTTCGTTGGCTCTTTGAGGCAAAATGCCCAATGGTGCATTATACTGCGACTGTTGGATGAATGCAAGAACAAACAAAATTACGTTTGCTTTACTGGATTGGAAAATCCTCAACAGTTTGGGCCTAATCTGGCTGAACAAACTGACTGTAGTGAAGAATAAGACAGGTGTCATGAATTCTGAACTTCTGTGTAAAATTGTGTGTGATTCATGTTGACTGTGTTTGTTGATTTAATACAATTATGCATGAATTGGGAAGTCTAAAATTCCCTGGAGATATTTTCCTTTGATTTAATTTTGTTCATGGCCATTTTAATTTGTGTTTATATTAGATCTGTTTCTGTGTTTTTCCTGCAAAATTGGTAAGAGTCTTGTATGCATTCTGAATTGATACACGCGTTTTGGCACTAGTTAATCTTAGCTTGTCAATATTGGCAATTCTTTCTGTGAACTTTTGGGTTTTCTTGAAAACTCAGTACCAGTACAAACATAGGGATGACACCTTGTTTGGGCTTTTTAGAGTATACATGTAATAGTGCCCTCTTTTACCCCCCCCCCCCCCCAACACACAATCCTCCACCATACCCCATTGTGCTAGTCTCCTTCACAAACTCCACTCCCTGTTAGGTAAAAAAAAAAAATCCCTGTACAATGTCTGTTAAATTTTATTACTTCTATGATTTACAACCCCAGGAATAAACTGCAAACACCCTACTGATAGAATGCCTGCATATACAAATCATTGTGGCCAATTCTGAAATTTTTTAGTTTTTTTTTTAGAAAGTGTTTATACCTCACGGTTAATCATTCCAGAAAAAAAAAATCTCGCCGAAAAATGAGACTCGCGAGAGCGATTAGATTTTTTGCAATTACACGGGTTGATGAGCAGGTACTGAGAGATGTGGTGTACGCTCATCGTCGCCCTCGGTCTTGGGTTTACCGAGTGAAATAAACGACTTCTAATTACACGGGCAGATTACCCTAATCCTGCTGGCCCATCGCATACCTCGGTTCCCCCATTTCCCTTAATTATATCTTTTTTACAAACACTAATTAATACAAGGCTGCAATCTGTGGCAAAAGATTTATGACCATAATTTGGAGTGGAAAAAAAAAAAATTGGCTTTTCAGCACCCGCCAATGTTGGCCGTGGAATAGGAAACCACCTATCTCGGTAATTACCTTAGATAAAAACCCAATTACAGACAGGAGCCGGCGTAATTCCATTTGGCACAATCAGATCATTTCGATTCTGATCAGACGCCGCGTCTTGTACGTGATGCTGCACTGGGAAAAACATACATTATCAGTGGCTAGCGTGTAATTGGATCGTGCGCACACGCCCGATTTGCAAGATTGGCAGTCGATCTTAAGAACCTTTTGGAACATGAATACGTCCGCCGACCGTCCCAGCCCAAGACTGCAATTCAAGAGAGTAACCGAGACTTTATTGACATGTGAAAATTAGCAATTGGACTGGTATCCTGTCCTGTTTGTAATGATTGGGCTGCTGGGGATCGTGTGTGCATGTGAACGTAATCTTGAAGAGATATATTGGTATATATTACCACGGATGCTCTCTGCATAAAATGTAGATGCATTAGTTCTCGGGAGGCATCACGTTTTGGTGTCAGTGACGAAAATGTATGTTTGCCATTAAAGCTGTACCTATGTGCCGTAACTTTATCCAAATGAAAGGCGGTGTCAAAATCTGGTATTTGAAAATACTTCACCTAACGTAAACCTAACTTCTGCTTAATTTTATTAAAATTAAAGTCTTCCAAAAACATAACTGAAAATAGCAATAGACGCCAATGGGTATACTCTGACTTGAAAAAATCAAGGAAACAAAATTAACAACTCTCCAAGTGTTCAAGAAACCTCAAATAAAAAACTTGATTTTCCATCTTTCCTGTTCTGTTCATTTTTTTGAGAATTTTTCCCCCCTCGTTTTTGGAAGCAATGATTACTGGAGTTGTGGACTCTTTCACCAATTTCATCCCAAATTCTAAGAATTTCAAGCCCAAAACCATGTTCAGATCAAGAAACCCTTCATTTTTACGAACCCTCAAGTGCATTGGACATAAAACTCTCTTTTACTATTTTAAGTGAGAAAAAGACAGCACGCAAAACTAATTTGTTTGGAGTATAGGCAACGTTGGGCTCATTTATTGGCCTATGTTCATACATACGGTACACATACATATAAGTATGTACTTCCACTCATGGTGCACCTCCGGTTGGCCAACAGAGGGCGCTATTGCAACTTCACCCATACATCAAAACCCCCGTCGTGATTTATGACATACTTGTAGGGTTCGGGTTTCAGGCTTCGCTTACCCTCAGGGCGGATCATGTGACACTCCCTCGTACATCAAATAGATGGAAAATGACAGGTGAACAATTTATTTGCTCGGGTAGCAAAAAAAATCCTCCACACTACAAAAGGGTGCAAATTGTTTGTTATCAACTCGAGCCCCAAAAATGGCACCTTTCAGGCAAAATTGTCTGTGCACCTTTCAGGCAAAATTGACTGTGACGGACAGAGAGAAAGACATAATATTAATCTTTGGCTGGTGAACTCAATTCACTCGTAATTCTGGGTTCAGATTTTTTCTGTCAAGTTATGGCAGTTGGCGCATGTCCCAATATAAATGTGATAAACTGACTAACGTTAGAGGTATGTTGCTGTTATTACATGTATTTGTGCACTGGACATTTCGAACCCAGCATGTACTGGTAACTTCAGACTCAGTCTACACATGTAACTACTGAGAAATGATTTCAATAGTAGGCCAAAAGTTTGTGACTGAATGCCTCAGATCAGGCTTCTAGATATGTAGGCTACAAAGTTTATAACATGAATGATCTTCATCAAAGAACATTTGTTACTCCAGAAAATAACTGGAAACTTCAATTTTTCCAATACAATTATACCTTCAGTCTATACATGTACCGGTAGCTACCAAGAAATGATTGCAATTGTATATTTTGTGACTGAATACCTTGGATCAGGCTTCCAGATATGTACATAGTTTATTACATATATGATCTTTATCGAAGAACATTTGTTACTCCAGAAAATAACCTGAAACTTCAGTTTTCCCAATACAATTATACCTTCAGTCTATACATGTAGCTACCAAGAAATAATTGCAATTGTATATTTTGTGACTATATACCTTGGATCAGGCTTCCAGATATGTACATAGTTTATCACATATGTATATGATCTTTATCCAAGAACATTTATTACTCCAGAAAATAACTGGAAACTTCAATTTTCCCAATACAGTTATACCTTCAGTCTATACATGTAGCTACCGAGAAATGATTGCAATGGTATATTTTGTGACTGAATACCTTGGATCAGGCTTCCAGATGTACAAAGTTTATTACATGTATATGATCTTTATGTTTATCAAAGAACATTTGTTACTCCAGAAAATAACTGGAAACTTCAATTTTTCCCAATACAATTATACCTTCAGTCTATACATGTAGCTACCGAGAAATGATTTCAATAGTATATTTTGTGACTGAATGCCTTGGATCAGGCTTCCAGACATGTACAAAGTTTATTACATATGTATATGATCTTTATCGAAGAACATTTGTTACTCCAGAAAATCACCGGTGACATTAATTTTCCAAATACAATTATTTTCTGACAAATGACAAACCCTGACAAATCCTGAACGGTTTTTGCCCGATTACAATCTCAGCTGATCTTCACCAGCGATTTACCGCCTTGCAGATGATGCACAGCGAACAGACGGTTTGGTGGCAAACCTTACACAGACAGGCATGTGTGAACATTACACTTT